TAGTATTGGCAACAGTAAATAAAACAGTATGCATTACATAAAAAAAATAAAAAAAAAAAATAAAGAATAAATAGAGAACTTTTCAGTCCTTTCCAATCTCCAACATTGACGACCAAGTGGCATGGTTACCAATTTAAAAATCAAACACATTATAATAATAGCAGTGGTGATAAAACTATTCAACAGTTGATTTTCATTTTTGGGATTTAAAGTCTTGGCCCTGAAGAAAGGAGCAGAAGTTATAAAAAATACATATCTCTGAAATGTGTTCTTTTATCTACATGATTTGTATGTTTCAAAAAGCCGTCATCAATGAATTAAGGTTTCCATTGATAGTGTGGTTTGGTTGAGTCTCGTCAGGTGTGAGCAGGTGTGGGCATATGACGTATTTTACATCCAAACTATTGCATATACTTGTGCTGAAAAGCCATGTGTGTCACTCTGTGCCTCTTTCAGCTAAGAGCTGAATCATGAATGATGGCCTCTATGATTCACTTGTGTGTGAAAAGGCCGCTCTTTGGTCATAACAGATGTCAAAGGACAGGAACAATCAAATGTACTTAGATTAGATTATATTATTTATTTATTTAAAACCTGTACAACTAACGTATATCAGACAGATAACAAAAACATGGTTCAAAAAGGGACATAGGATGTGAATTCATCTTTCTTTTTCAATATTTTAACCATGTTCCAACATTGTTCCCTCATCCATCACAGACCTGAACTTGCTTTTATGAGGAATTTCTGGCACAAACATGTAACTCCGCCCCTTTCTGTAATTAGCTCCTGTCTCAGTATAGCTGACATTGGTAGTATTAGACATTACTAGTATATCTAGTATGATATCAAAATATATTGCCCATAAAGTAGCTCTGGCAATTTATCAGGTAACATTTCCTAATCCTTTGAAATTAGGGGAAAAAAAAGAAAAAAATCAACTCCTCCTTCAACTCATTACAGATGGAGGGCATTTATTTTTTTATCTTCATACTTTCACCTTTCATCATATATTTTCTACTTGAAATATTATTCCACACAAAATGTCAAATTGAATGGACACAAACAATGCATGTTTCTTCTTTTGAAACAGACCTGTGAAGCATTTTCTCCCCAAGTAAACCAGTGTGAAGGCGTCCTTAGTTACACAATACTGCATACCTGCATTCCGATTTGTTTTGTAATGTTTTCTGTTACATGGTCCAAGCAGAGAACTTTCATATTGAGCGTGATGTCATAGTGATACAATAACATCATACTATTACAGCACTGAGACAGGAGTTTTTAGACAGAAGGGGCGAAGATACAAGTTCGAGATGTTGGTATGGATGGATCTCAAAACAACTCCAGGTCTGTTTGTGATGAGGAAACAATGTTGTAACATGGTTAAAAGGGTGAAAACATTGATTATACATAGTGTTTCCTTTAAAGTAGCAATATGTAAAATTTCATGTCAAGTCATCATTAAATGGCCCTAAACCATGCTCTTTTCGAATACTTCTTTAACTGATAACAGTAGTTCAGACGAGATATTTGGATTTCAAAATTAGTTTTACAGCCCATAAATCTGCCCGGATGTCCCGCCCTTCAACGTTTTACCAATCAGAAATCCGTGATCCGGGTTGCCAGAACTCACTGGCATGTGAGTGCACACTAGGGTAGTCTTGCACAGTTTTTCCAGTGTGGCTTTACTGCAAATGGCAAATAAATGAATCTGAATCTGAATCTGACTTGTCTGCATATCTGGCAACCTGAATCAGGGAGTGTGGGAGAGGATGCAGTACCACTTTTGGCCAGATTTTTACATACTGTGACTAGTGGACACTTCATATTCACTTGTTTGGTGATTTTATATCTAGGGAATAGATTATTTTCATCCAGAAAAGGTCCAGTTAAAGTGAAACAAACTAATGTGCCAAACATATTGTACATGTAAATTACTCCTGTGTGAGATCAATAAACTATATCTTATCTTCCTTAGTCTCACCAACCACACAGGACAGTGAGGACTGTCCATGCGCCCCAGCATGTTCTACCTGCTCTGCTCACAGCTTAGTCCGCAGCCTCCTCTTCACCTGAGCCTGAGACTTCACTTGAAACAGATGTGCACAAGAAAAACAGTGAGATCATGAAGTCATTGCGCCCAGCGTCAGAACACTGACTGATGTTCGGAGAAGGGGAGTCTGAAACTGAAAACCAGCTCAGAGCACTGGACCAAAACACTGCAGAGCTAACACCCACAGCCGGCCACTTCAAATGTCCATGTTAGAAATGGCATTATCCCTTTTGTACTTGTAAATGCCATCACAACATAATGCCGACACCACAGTAGATCAAGCCTTTTAGTTGTGTTGTGCGACCTTTGTGAGGAAGACAAGGATCTGGTAGAGGAGGTTCATAGCTTTCTTTCATTTGATTTTCATGTCATCAATTGTGCGCTGACTTCCCAAAGCAAATCTGACTCTGTATATAGGCGTTTTCATGAGAGCGGAGAACGAGACCAGAACGAGTCAAAATGAAAGATCAAAAACAAGCTTCCCACTTTTAAAATAAGTTTTATCTCAGGACCTCAGGGAATCGCAGTATAATGCACTATTGCAAGTTTTTCATCCACATGGAGTGATATAAACATATTCAAACATATATTTTACAAGGATAACTTTATAAAGGAAAGAGCAGCACAAGCTAAATCCCAAACTCTGATAGTAAGAGCTTCACTCTTGTTACATGGCTTGTCCCTTGTGTAGCTTTATAACCTTCTTCACCTGAGGCTCTTGTAATCAGTGGGAATGAGCTTGTTGGAGCTAAAAAGGTTTCATAATTATTTGGAATTGATGGGACAAATTTTGGCTTTATGTTTATTCTACACAAATAAAAAAAAAACAGAGACACACATAGATAGATAGATAGATACTGATATTGATCCCCCGTAGGAGAAATTCAGGTGTCCAGCAGCAGAAGTCTCATCCAGGTCTGTTGTACAGTCTGACAGCCGAAGGAACGAAGGATCTCTTGAAACATTCCGTTCGGCAGCGCAGCAGCCTCTTGCTATGATTACTCTTCTGAGCGGCCATAGTGTCATGAAAAATGCGAAGGGTGTCTGGAGTTCCCCAGGATGCCCTGCATTAGAGCCCTCATCCTTCTCTTCAGCACAGCTCCCACGAGCTTCTCCCCATCACATAAACACATTTGCTGTATGTCAGACTGCCGCCCCAACACGTAACCCCAAAGAACATGGCACTATTTACAACAGACTGGTAAAATATGTGCAAAATCTAGTCATTATGACGGATGTTAGTGCTACTGTTCTGTAGTCCCTGATGATGAGCTATAAACAAATTTTAGACAAATGAAAAGTCCGGATAGTTTGGCTCCATGATTCCCTCTCCTTTTCCTCTTTAAAATGTGTGTATAGCGTTCACAGAAAATAGCATGTTTGCATATGTGTGCTAAAGTGAATGGTTGCAACATGAAAACAGGTCCAGCCCTCCAAGATATGACAAAATCCCAATGTGTGCCCACCTCTGGTCTAAATGCTCCAATCTCAAACTGGTTATGACAATGATAACATCGAACAGACTGTTTTCTGCCTTTTCAAACAAAAGTTTTGCCTCTGAATTAGTTTGGAGAATTTCTTCAGTCCAGTCACTATATACCACTCGATAGCTCCTGTACAATACCCTCTATATACCGCTCGACAGCTTCTCTCAAATCCAACCAGGACAACCCTTTTGCCAGAACTACCCAGAAACGCATATCAGTGGTCGGAGTAAAATTTTAGAATCAACTCGAATATGAAATGTTAAAAAAACGTCCACATGTTTAAGAAAAAAATCAAAGCAACAACAGTAAAATTGTTTAAATTAATGATTAGAAAAATTTGAAAATGACTGAAAAAACAAATAAATAACATAAAATAAAAACAGTTATTTTTTTATGTTTGAAGAAATGGGGCACACAACATCATTTGTGTGAGAAGATGAGAATTATTTGAAATGTAATTGTAAGATGTGATATGTTGTCATGTCCACAATTTAAATAGATAAATAAATAATAATAATAATAAGGGGCTGGTGCTCTGTGTACTGGGTGCAGCTCTGACCGCCGCTATTAGACTTTTGAACTCTCTGTAGCGGGATGTGGACTGTTGGAACTGTATTGTTGTTGTTGTATCATGTTCATTTGTTTGTATGGGACTCCACTTCATGTCAAATCACTTATTTCCTGTGTTTTTTTTTGGGTTATGTGCTGCTCAAATGAATTGCCCCTGGTGGGATTAATAAAGTAGTCTGAATCTGAATCTGAATCTGAATCACCCCCTGACCCAGAAATGGATTAAGGGGAAGAAAATGGATGGATGGATAATAATAATAATTGATCTATTACTTCATTGAAATATCTATATATATATATATATATATATATATATATGTCTGTGTATTTTCTACGCAAGAACATATGGCACAATGTAAACCAGGAAAAGCAAATACTCAAGCTCATGGATCAGCGGCGATAGAGCTGTTAAATGTAAAATCTTTTAAAAGCCCCCTCTGCAGGGTAGGTTTACATGAGCAGTACAAGCAAGGGAAATGTCTTTTTTATGAACCCAAAGTGAACCTTTAGTCTCTAATCCCACAAAATCTTTGCACGCTGTAATGATTCAGACTTCAGAGAGGAGAGGAGGCCTCCTATAGGCCCCCCATACACGCACACACACACACACACACACGGGGGTGACATCATATGATCTCATCTCTGAAGCACCCTGACACAGACCTGCTCCGACAAGCAAGACTTCACAACTTGTACTTTTGCTATTATGGCTACTTTTACTTTTACTACTACTACTACTACTTATTTTCCCACACATGTTTTGCAAAAGGGATTTTCACAATTCATGTGAACGTTGTGGATGATACAATGTGTCTCTGGTCTGCAAAAATACATATTATACAAACACCCTTCATTCCAAATGGCAACACTGCTTTAAACAGGCACTGATGAGATCTCCCCTGGTGCCCTACTCTCCCCTGGTGCCCTGCTCTCCCCTGGTGCCCTGCTCTCCCCTGGTGCCCTGCTCTCCCCCTGGTGCCCTGCTCTCCCCTGGTGCCCTGCTCTCCCCTGGTGCACTGCTCTCCCCTGGTGCCCTGCTCTCCCCTGGTGCCCTGCTCTCCCCCTGGTGCCCTGCTCTCCCCTGGTGCCCTGCTCTCCCCTGGTGCACTACTCTCCCCTGGTGCCCTGCTCTCCCCTGGTGCCCTGCTCTCCCCCTGGTGCCCTGCTCTCCCCTGGTGCCCTGCTCTCCCCTGGTGCACTGCTCTCCCCTGGTGCCCTGCTCTCCCCTGGTGCCCTGCTCTCCCCTGGTGCACTGCTCTCCCCTGTTGACCTGTTTGATCCGTCCACAGCACGTATATGCACAAAGCCAAGAAGTGCCCTCAACATGTGGAATCCGACAAGTTAGAATTTAGTTATCACAAAACAAAATATTTTAAACATTTCATTAAAGATGTCAATGTTTACTTCTTCACTGTGATTGATAACATCAGGATAGGAATGGCACTGACCATATAATTACTCGATAAGGTACGTTGCACAAGGCCCAAAACATCAAATTCAGTCGTCTACCATGATGTCATCAGTTCAAGAACTCTGCTCTACTTCCTGTGACTTGTGTTTAAACAAGGTGTCACTCCATCAATAATAGTTAGATATTATCAGTCACATACGCGTTATTTTTGTTTGTCTCTCTAACTAACAACACTGCTTATGATTCCCTGTCCGTCGTCTTCTTTTTCTGCTTACATTATATTTCAATCTGGAAGGGACTCAAACAGACACAAGGGGGTTATTTATTTATTTATTGTTTATTTGGTTGTGACAGTACATGTTCATGAACACATTGTAGGGGAAACCGGAGTACCCGGAGGAAACCTGCACAGACACGGAGAGAATATGCAAACACCACTCAGAAAGGCCCTGTTCCGACCGGGATTCAAACCCAGAACCTTCTTGCTGAGAAGCGAGAGTGCTATCAACTCAGCCCAGTAGAATTGTATTTGTTGGTTAGCATAGTAATGAGGAACTACCAGTGGGGGCGGGTCCCGGGTCAAAAGTGGCCAAAATGACGTGCGCTGACATGCTTGCAACACCACCCCGGGGGGTAGACCCGGAATAAGAATTAGGCTGAGTTTACACGGAGACAATGTGGCAGTAAAACGGTATAGTTGGATGTCGGTTGCTACCAACCGTTCATACGGAGACTGTGTTCCAGGGGGGTGAAAACGTACGAGTTCAGATCCAGCCTGCAGAGTGGGACAACTCAGAAACGCTGCACAGCGGGGAGCTCTTTCACACCCGCGAGAGGGGAAAAGGTGTGAAATCCCCCTCTGCTCTGACCCCCACCTCCGCGCTGCTCCCCGCACGTACATTTGGACATGCGCAGTAGCGGAGATCAAACATAAACAACAATGGCGACGGTCACACTAACTAGCTTCGTGCGCTTCCAGCGCGGCACAGAGGAGGATTCTACACCTTCGTTCTTCCAAACGAGACCACGCGAAGCTCTAGGTTCAGTTTCCATTTTCACAGCTGCTGTTAAAATGCAGAATGATGTTGGTGCGTTCTGAGGGTCTGGCACAGGAAGTGAGTATACTGCCGAGAGGGGGGCTCGGCACGGGGCTGGGGGTCGTGTGAGTGTTGTAAAGTTTCTCTGCCCACTACTGGCCGGGCGCTAGAACTACATCGTTTTTCAACCTCATGTGAACGCTGAGAAATTTGCATTAGGAGCCAGGTCGTTTCTGTTAATAGCCTGGAAACGTCTGCGCAGCGTCTCAGTATAAACAGGGCCTCAGATACGCTGCACAGCGGGGAGTTTTTTCACACCCGCGAGAGGGGAAAAGGTGTGAAATCCCCCTCTGCTCTGACCCCCACCTCCGCGCTGCTCCCCGCACGTAAATTTGGACATGCGCAGTAACGGAGAACAAACATATGGCGCCGCGCGCACTAACTAGCTTTGTGGGCTTCCAGCGCGGGACAGAGGATAATTGTACTCCTTCGTTTGTCCAAACGAGACCACGCGAAGCTCTAGGTTCAGTTCCCATGTTCACAGCTGCTGTTAAAATGCAGAATGATTTTGGTGCGTTCTGAGGGTCTGGCACAGGAAGTGAGTACACTGCCGAGAGGGGGGCTGGGGTCGTGTGTCGTGTTGTAAAGTTTCTCTGCCCACTACTGGCCGGGCGCTAGAACTACATCGTTTTTCAACCTCATGTAAAGAAATTTGCATTAGGAGCCAGGTCATTTCTGTTCATAGCCTGGAAACATCTGCGCAGCGTCTCAGTATAAACAGGGCCAAAGCCAATGCTAACATATAGCATCTTCTCACCTCTCGAAAACGTCTTTACAGGATGGTCCAAAAGTCCGCTCTTGGCCCAAAGCTCCGTTCCACATGTGTGTCAATGCTGAGGGGAGTGAATTTTTTTGGACCACTCTAGTTTACTTGCTGTGAATTTTTTAAGTCTCTCGTTCAAATGAATGGAGCTACGCCGGCTGGCGCATGCGCAGATGCGTTTTTTCACAATTTTCTTGTGGACGGGACCACTCGTGGCCATTTTGGATAGCTCCAGTAGAGCAATTTTTTTGGCCCATTTGTTTGAACAGCGGAGATAGGTGTGACTACGTCCGTTAATATTTACAGTCTATGGTTACTACATACATTAGCACATTCGACTCATTTAAAAAATAAAACAGATGCAGTATGCACTGACCTGGGACTCATTCTTTGTTATTCTCCTTGGGCATGGATGTCAAAGTCAAGGCCAGCGGGCCAGGTTCGGCCCACAAATGAATTATCTTGGCCCCCGGGAGGATATTTGATTAGTATTAGAACCGGCCCGCACAGAGCCATAAAAAATATTGGATTATGAATTTAATGTTCAAGACATGTCATTGTCTGTGAACCTATTGAAGACATTTCATTATTAAATACAATACCTTACCCTGTGTTAGGTCTTTGTCCAAAAGGTTATGTAGCAGCTTTAGCTGAATGAATGAAGCTCGTACAGATGCATGTGCCCATTTTCCGTTTAATTTAATTGCACAAATTCACGGTAAGAGCTAATAATCATGAATACTTTTAATCAGTTAAGCACACAAAAGAATCATAAAAATTACATAAAAATACACTCCTATCCCGCGCACGCACCATGTCACATTTCGTACAATCCGGAAGCAACTGGAAGTTGCCCCGACAAACTTCAAAATAAACAAGATAGACATTCCTTACAGGTTATATGCAATCATTGTAATTTGTTTTAATAAATATTGAACCAGTCGGGCCCTCCTCGGCTTGTAGCAAATTATTATTTTTGGCCCTCTGATGTATTTGACTTTGACATCCCTCTCCTTGGAGATAGGTGAAGAACAGCCCCCCTGATCTGAATCTGAGTGGTGTTCTTGGACTTCTGTGCAAGTTATAGTTTTCCATCACGAACACCATGTTCAGGCACGAGGGCGTCCACCAGTGCATGTGACACCAGGACACCCTAGGCCGGAGGTCGATGATTTACTTAATTGTTGTGTCATGTGACCTTCGGCCGGGTGTCTCGGACACTCGGGTGAAGAGAGAGGCAGAGCTGTCAACTGATCACCTGGTTGTGAGTTGGATCCACTGGCAGAGGAGGAAGCCGGTCAGACCTGGCAGAACCAAGTGTATCGTGAGGGTCTGCTGAGCCCCCTGTCAGACGGACTTTCAACTCACACCTTGAGGAGAGCTTCTCCCAGGTCTCGGAGGAGGAGTGGACCATGTTCTCCTCCTCTATCGCAGATGCAGCAGCTCTCAGCTGAAGTCGTATGGTGCTGGTGCTGGTCTTGGTGGCGGTCCCCGAACTAGGAGGTGGACTCCGGTAGTGAGGGATGCAGTCAGGCTGAAGAAGGAATCCTATTGAGCTACGATGGTGATGTGGGACTGAGGCATCTGTCCAGTAACTGCAGGGCAAGCGGTCGACTGCCCGGGCTAAGGCAAAGACCCGGGATTGGGAGGACTTTGGAGAGTCCATGGAACAGGACAATCGGGCAGCCTGAAAGAGATTCAGGCCCTTCAGGTGGGGGGTTAATAAATAAAAATTGTAAAATATTTTCTGTCAAAGATTGTGTTATACTTTCTAAAACATGAAATACATTAGAGGTCTCATTATTATGTTTAAGGGCCAAAAATAATGCATAATATTTCTTATTTAAGGGGTGATTATTACTTTTGCTTAGAAAAAATAGAATTAGTGAGATATTTTACTTTTTTTATTTGGATGCAGCCAATGGCCATCTATCCTCCCAACAGTGTGTGGTATTAGAAATGATCTTTTTCAAATTTCCACCACTTATTTTTTCTCATATCTTCCAACACCTGTATTATACCATATTTATTTGTGGACTTCCAACAGAGGTGCATGCTTGGAATCGCTCCGGTGGAATTCCGACTGATAAAAGCGTGTGATGTGTCGGGAGGAAGAATTAATGCCGGTTGTGTTGTGGTGGTTTACGTTGCTATGGTGATGCTTTTGTTTCCACTTCCTGATCTGACAGTGTGTGGAGTTAGCAGATCTCAGACACAGAGGAATCCTCCAGTGATCCTATAGTGTTTATTGCACCATTATTTGCAAATATACACTTTATATACTCTAATTCAAGTTCACGAATACAGACAGCATTATCACATGTGATAATTTGGCAATAAAACGTTTATTACAAACTGTGCAGAATTCTCTAACAGTTTTCTACTATTGTGAAATATTGCAGTTAAGAAAACATTATTTCCTAAAAGATGGCAAAAAAGGTAACTTATTAACTGTATTTTTTTTCACAGTTGTCCTTGATTTTTTATGCTTTGCAAGTAAATAGTTTATGTCTTATGTTGAAATCTCAATGTGATCATCACACGCCTCAGGATTCTCCCGAATGAGGAGTGAGTGGAGTCTCAGCGCAGACTGCTGCCTCTGTGACCCGGTTTCAGATAAAAAGGAAGATGTTTCGTCTGAATTCATTGAGCAGTGTTGTTTTAAAGCTCCACCTCGGCTCTTCCTCCATGAGCTCATGCAGGAAAGTCTGACAATGCTGATAAGTCAGGGTGAGGATGACCTGAAATGGCCTCACTGGGAAATTGACAAAACTTTGATTTGAGTAACAACTGAACCATAAGAGATGGTCTCTTGATGGTCTCAAATCAAGTTCTGAGGAATAGAAACTAAGAAACGTACCTCCTTCTGCAACAGATATAATATAGATTGAACTTTTGACAGCAGTGGGATAAAGCTGCCATGAACTAGCTTTGGTTTGTGTTCTCTGGAAGTCCTATTGCAAGGCAAGGCAAGTTTATTGGCCTTCATACACAAGGCAAGAAAAGAAACAACAAAAGACCATTTCAAATCACACAATTAGTCAAATAATAAATAATTATTTATATTGAAAAGAGTGACGG